TTATAGGGATCAATGGGAGATAAAGGGGATATGGGACTTGGCATTCCTGGATCTCGTGGTTCTCCTGGTCAAAAAGGTGACCGTGGTATAAAGGGAGAAAGAGGTCCAATTGGAGACAAAGGAAATATGGGTCCAACTGGAGATAAGGTAAGTGCTTATAACTATTTATGCTTTTATTATAGTCATGAAGGGAGAAAAGGGTTGTGATGGAATGAAAGGTGACAAAGGTGATCCTGGCTTGAATGGGACTGCTGGAGCAAGAGGGCCTCCAGGACTGAAGGGAATTAAAGGATCAAAAGGAGTAAAAGGAATGAAAGGTATGATCATAGGTTTTGATCATTATGATCAAATGACTAATGTATAATAGGTATTAATGGTACTAAAGGAGACAAAGGTGATTCTGGTCGAAGAGGTTTTCCAGGAAAAAATGGCTTACCTGGACGCACTGGCCCTCCTGGAAAAGATGGCGCACCATGCATGAAGGGACAAAAAGGAGAAAAGGGGAATAAAGTATGCTGATATTTTTGTCCAAAATTTTAATACAAATATAGGGAGAGAAAGGAAGTAATGGTACTAAGGGAGAAAGAGGACCTATTGGAATGAAAGGGAAAATGGGAAAAAAAGGAGTCTCTGGGTATGAGGGAAGAACAGGAAAACCAGGATCCAATGGAATACCTGGGATACCAGGAAGAGCTGGACCACCTGGAAACAAGGGAATGAAAGGAGATAAAGGCTCCAAAGGAGAGAGAGGACTAAAAGGAGAAACTGGAAGAACTGGATTAACTGGCTCAGGTTTATTTAATAGCAAACAGAAGTATTTGTGACACTTGTTTTACATTAGATGGTTTCAAAGGAGAAAAGGGAGACGTTGGAGAAATGGGAACACCTGGTATTAATGGTACTGATGGCTTAAAAGGAGATAAAGGATATAAAGGAGATAAAGGAATGAAAGGACCATCGGGACGTGATGGAATAAAAGGCGAAAAAGGAATGAAAGGACCTCCAGGAAAAGTTGGAAAAATAGGAAAAACAGGGTTACAAGTAATCACTTTTATTTGTTATTTAAAATGATATTTGACAGGGAGAGAAAGGAGAAAAGGGTGTTAAAGGTGATCCAGGACCACCTGGAAATGTCACAGGTGAGTTTCACTGTGTATCTGTTGCTACTTATAAGAAACACTATAGGAGTAATGGGTCCAGTTGGACGAAAAGGACTAATGGGACGTAGAGGTCCACCTGGAAAGCGTGGTCAGATAGGACCTATTGGACCTCCTGGGCTAAAAGGACTTAAAGGCATGAAAGGAAATCCAGGAGATGTAGGTAAGACACTTATTTCTTTTATTACACATGTTTACTCTTTATCAGGACCACAAGGACCTAAAGGTATGAAAGGAGACAAAGGAGTTCAAGGAGAAAAAGGACCACCTGGCAATCAATCCACTACATTACCAGGTCCTCGTGGAGACCCAGGACAACCTGGTAAACACTAAAATTATTATGATTATTATTTTTAAGTATTATACAGGGATCCGAGGCTATAAAGGTGTTAATGGTAGTAAAGGAATGATTGGTCCATAT